GAAAGAGAGGAGAGGATCAGATTTGCACAATGGTCAGTTTCTGGGTATATATTACAAAGTGTGACCCTAATCCTGCTATCCTGTAAGAAAGAGAAGCTCAGAAATCACTTTCTTCCCTTCTTGACCAGTGACCTGCTGATGAATCATCTGGCTCAATGTAACTGGGGTTAGTTCTGTGCTCTTGAGCTGCCTATTGACTGTAGTTTAGCCATTTCCAAACTTACTAGCAGCACACTGATGTGGCATGGGGTGGTCAGCACAGCCAGATTCCTCCCAGTAACTCAGAGCACCCCAGGAAGAGGCAGACCTAACACTGGGAAAGGGCACCTTGCAAGTGAAGGGCATGTGAGCAGAGCCTCTGCATTGCCCTGTTAATCCAGAACGCTGCTGTTGTAACACAGGATCAGTGCCTTGACTTGGTCTTTAAGTTCACAGCAATAGTCTCACCACAGAAAATGGCGAGGCAGGAATGTTTCTGTTTTCAATCACTTTACCCTTGTTGCTTTGCCTCTCCAGATGATGTTCGATTGTTTGGCTTTGTCCGATTCACCACCGGTGATGCCATGAGCAAGCGAGTCAAGTTTGCCCTCATCACTTGGATTGGAGAAGATGTCAGTGGCCTGCAGAGAGCCAAAACTGGGACCGACAAGACTCTGGTCAAAGAAGTAGTACAGGTAACCTCTTTCTTCTGCTTCTAACCACCAGTTCTCATGACTTTTATCTCTACAAACAACAACAAGAGGTAAGAGACAGGGAAGGGCTGGATCATCCTTCAACTTAGTAGTTAGTCCTTTAAAAAGAAGATGGTCTCCTATTGCCTGTCTTCCTACTAGGAGGACTTAACATCTGCCCTTTGAGCACTCAAGCATAAAGAAGCACCTTTGAGCTTAAGGCTGTCTTATGCACTCCACACCTTGTCACCATTAAGATGTTTCCCATCTCCTTTCTTGATATGGAAATATCATCATATTGAATGGTAAAGAACAAGGCAGTATTAAGCAGGTAAAATTAAACAGAAAAACCCACGCCTTTGTTTAAACTTTTCCCTCGAGGCCTTTTGTCTCAGCACAATGAATTTGGGGACCTAATCACCTGAAGTCTGAAGTCCCTATCCTATTAACTAACAGCTCTTAATAGCTAACTAGATTTGAATAGTCTTCTGTTTGGCTTTGGGCGTATCAGGGAAAAAGAGAAATGTGCTTAGTACACACCTTGGAAGGGCTTCACTGGGATTTGCCTGCCCCAACTGAGCTTATCATTTAACTCTGTCACGGCCTCCCGTGGCACTCTGGGTCGGACTTGCTCTGTTGGGCTCCAAGCTCAGTCCAAGCAAGTGAAAACGAGCAGCAGCCACAAGAGAAGTGAATTGTTAAAGGCTGCAAAGAACTGCTGCTGAAAAGCTAACGTGAATAAGGAAGATGCTAACATTTAGCGTGTTTCCTTTGAAGAATTATTTAAAGCAAGATTAGCTCTTTCAACTAGACGTAGGGCCAGCTCTCCAATGAGAAATGGTCTTTCTTATGCACTTAGACAACAGACTGACCATTGAAATGATCTCCCTCAATAATTGTGTTCTTGCCTATGTAAAGAAATCTCCCAACAGGGCAATATGAAGGATGAGAATAAAGTCCCTCTCAATTCTGTGGTAGTTTGTATGACACAGAAGATTAGATTTAGATAAGAAGCAAGGAGAATATAATAAATTCATATCCTTCCAGAAGATAAACACTGGTGCTAAATCTTTCAAAATGACACCTACGCAGAGGGGTCCATTCTGAATAGAAACTTGTGTAATGACACCTGAGAGACAGGAAAGCAAATCTCTGCTCATGTGAAGCAGCTGAAACTGTGTAATTGTAGCTGAAGATGAAATTATAGAGTACTAATGAATGATTCATAAAAGAGTCACTAAGCCCAAGATTTTTTTAAAAAATATGTTTAGACAATTTATTCCTGTTGAGTTGAATAGCACTCCTGAATGCTGTTCTAAGATCTGTCCCTTTGGTCTGTTACATATAATTTGCAATTTCACTTGTTTCATCTTTGATTGGTAGTCTGTATGAGTTAATAATCTGGTGGAACATTAACCATTCTTGACTGTTACTTAAAAGCTTTCACATTCCAATTAATCTGTGCTAGAATGTGAAAAGAATACGACTTGTGCTTAGTACACTTCTATTGAGCAACCATGTCTATAACCCACTCCAAAGCATTTCTGAGTGTAACGTCAATGGTGATCTCCTTTCCATAAGGAATTATCTTGACAACTGTTTTGAATAGTTCTACATGTGCAACTGAATCTCTCTGAGTTCAGTGGGATAAAAACAGAACTATTTTCTTCTTTTTATGCGTGTAACCTTGCAGATAATCTGTCAAAACAAAAGAGGACAAGAAAGTCCAACTGAAATGTAGAGAAGGGAATTTATCTCAGAGCTATTTCACTCTTACTGGTTCTCCTGACCTTCGATTACACTCCCAGACACCCCACTACTGCTCATTTTTACAGATTATTTGAGATGTGAGTTATACATAGGAAAATACAGTTGCTTGGTTGCTGTAATGGTCATCTACAAATCTGACTCAGCGTTGGTTCGTCATTTGGAATAAGTAGTACCCTAAAGTGGGAATTTTTTTCTTTACAAACCCTGGAAAGAATCTAAGCTATCGATGCAGTTTGGCTCTCTGCAGTGTTAGTTGCGTGCATAGTCCATAGGTGCAACATGGCTCTTCTTCCAAGGAAGGGTGGCGCAAGGAGGCCTTCTTGTACAGCAGATACCAGCTTTGATTTTGTGATCTGTAGAAGTGATTTGTTGGGATTCCAGAACAATAGCTCTTCGGTCTTAGAAGCCCTCACCAAAAGGTGAAGCACTTGCTGCCTTGTAGTATTTGCAAAAGCTAACTGTGGCTCTTTATTTAAGACGTGTGAGGGGAGGCCTGCTTTACATTCTCTGCTACGTCCTAGATGCCTTGATGAGCTGTGGTTGAGCTCTGCTCAACGCCGAACACATGCCAATAAACGTTGTTCTTCCACCGAGACACTCAAAGTGAAAGATGGTCAGCTTGAATACCTCCTAACAAGCGAAACCCCCCATGTTGCGTCTGTAGAATAAAGGGTATTAACACATGGTGATTACTAACGGTCTCCTAGAAGCACCTGCCATATGGAAAACGTACAGGATATTAACTGTTGAAGAGTAGATTATGGGCTTGTGAACAAAAGGATGGAATATTATAAAGCAAGGAGAGGAACTGGGTTACCCTCGCTTTTGTATTCCTCCCTTGGAAGGGGGAGCAGGTGCTGTGAAATCTATAGGGAGGTGGCTTGGGAAGCAATGCTGATAGTCAGTGGAGGAGGTTGCCAGAAAATCTCTCAGGAAGAAAGAACAATTGATTTTAGCTCTAATAACTGTAAAATTACAGGGATGGATCTCATGTGGTGCAAATAGCCATAGTTCTCCTGGTCTGTACTAGCTGAGAATCTGGTCTTCTTGCTTATTTGGGACTATCCTTATTATCTCTTTAATGCTGTTGTAAAATGGGTTTTGTGTTTATTGTATTGATTGTAGAAAAATGAATTTTGCATTTAAGGAACACTCAGTAGGTTTTTTATTTTATTTTCAGCCATTTATTTTCCATTCTTTCCTCTTCACCTCAGCTGGAAGTCAAGCCTCTGACCTGAACCAAGTAGTTCAGCTGAGAGCAGGTTAGAAGTAAGGCCAGGACAGGGAACAAGTGTTTATCTATAACTTTTTAAGGGTGTGTTTATCTATAACTTTTTAAGGGTATAGCTAGGTACAAATGTGTGGAGGCTTTCCTGTGTAAATGGAGACATGGAGTAAGGTGATGCAGTATCCCATCTTTTCTCCACTGAGCATCTGTCTAGGCCAAGGACAGACCTGGGAGGGGGGTAGCAGCACACAACATCCAATGCTTAAGATGTTTGGGAGGTAATTTCTGGGGTTCAGTCTAAACCTAGATCTATAACGATCTAAACTTCACATCTGGGGAACTTTATGCAGCAGTAAGCCAGGATGACTTAAACTGCAAGGCTGCATCTATTTTGTCATCAGCAGTAGCGTGTCTTGTCTTGTGCATGTGGGTGAGCTGGCAGATGCTAACCATGAGCCACACACGCAGCAGCCCCACAGCGTTTGTCCCCTCTGCACAACTGCAGTTTGATCACTGGGTGCCACTAGTTGTCATGCCAAGGTTGCACCCAGCTGCCAGTAGATACGAGCTGAATGGAAAGGCTTTAGGCGTATTTTCTACTTGGCTACAAAGGAGATCATCCAAAGCTGGTCTTAAACTCATCTTTTATGTCCCTGGCAGTAAGGATGGTTCTGCCTTTTACTTCCTTTACATGCACAAGCTGTGGCTCATTCAGCCTTACTACAAATCCATCCAGGAGACTCTCTCTGCTCTGAGGGCTGTTGTTTTGACCTCCGTTATTCCAGAGACCCAGGAGAAACAGATCGGTCAGCTTAAGCCCAGAAATCAAGGGTATTGTAAGCTGCTTGTCATGGCTAGGAACGGCTGCCAGCATGAGGTTCAGTTCAGCCATAAAAATTCCTACAAGGTGAAACCTGGCAGCTGTGGGTTTTAAATACAGGAGTGCCAGGCCTTCAGTGAACAGCCCCACTCGCTTTGAGGAGAGGCAGGGCGATGATGTTACGGTGCTCTTATTGTAAGGACAAGCCCAGGCACAACGGTTGTGGGGCTGGGAGTGGCAACCAGTGCCAAAGTGGTCTGGTTTTGATGTAAATGCCGAAGAACTGAGAGCAGGACTTGGTTTCCCTCTGAGTGTTGCTTCCTCTCTGTGAACTTGCTGCTTTTCATGACTGCATTTCCTTCCAGGAGACTTTAACATTTTATTATGCAGCGTGGAGGTCTTTTTCCTGATGGGACTGAATTTCCCTGCCGGGCTGTCTCAGCAAAGAGACTGCCCAACCTTTCCCAGTTTGTCTTATTTTCTGTGAATTTTGACTCTTTGTTTTCTTCAGCACCTCTGCCCCCACAAAATCACATGCTCTATTGTTTGCCTACATCATATTCAGGGTAAAACAGCTCTGTTTCTGTGAGCAAATATTCGGGGCATTTTATGCATTATGATTTCGGGTGAGGAATTTGCCTGGCTTTGGTGATGTCAACAAGTTAGTTACTGAGTTCCTGCTTTGGAGCTCATGGCCGGATCTCTTTTTGTTCACCTTTCTCTTTTCCTCTGGATTCCTCACTGCACTGATGCTGGTACCTCACGAGGGAAGACCCACTTACGGGGTGACCGTCCCTGGTCTTGAGACAGATACAACGTGTTGTAACTCCATGTATGTGCATTAGGTTTCTCATGTTAGTACAGTGGCCTAAACAAAAGATGGTTTAATAGCTTTGTTAGAGGTAGTGAGAAAATCAAACACATACGGTAACGGCTATGACCCACTGGCTTTGGGATAGTCTTTCTCGAGAGGGTGAGTGAGATCCTGCTGGGGAGGCAAACAGAATTGTTCTTTCTGACTGTTTTTCCTATTCTGGTTTACAGTAATGACCATACCAAATGGATATGGATTTGCAAGAAATTCTAGTCCTAGCCTAGAGAAGGTGGTAACTTTATAAGTAGCTTCTTCAGGCCGGAATAAGCAGTTTCTCATCATCCCACATCTGACACACAGCCCTGTGACTTTTCCAGTGGGATGCAGCACAGACAGGAAGAATTTGCAGATCAGCCGAAATGTAGTTCCCATTGCTGAGAGATGTGTTTGCCAGAGGTTTGGGCTGGTTTGAGCTGGCTTCTCCCAGCAGCTGAAACTGGTCCATGTAAAAATTGGCAAGGAGTAAATTTGAAGAGAGGGGTTTTGCTGATGGCTTAGAGTCTGATAGCTGAGGCAGGACCAGGTTTAGTGTAGCCAGAGGACTGTGGAGGGCAGTGGTACTGTACTGCTACAAGTACTTGTCACTTTATAGCTCTCCTTGCATTCAGAGAAGACCTGCTAGAACATACCTCAGCTATCCTTTCTTCCCCATGACCGCAGGTCTAAGCCAAAGAAACATGGAAGATATCATCTCCTCTGTACCGCATCTGCACCGGAAATAAGATGATCAGCGGATGGGAGTAGTGACATTACGCACAGTGGGACTGGGGATTTTGAACATCAGTGGAGGCTGCTGCAAGGCCCAACGTAAATAAAACCAGCAAGAAGCTGCTCAACTATCTGGCACCGTCCCTAGCTGCTAAGAACCCATGTGTCTGTAGACGATACAAGGATTTTCCTTCTGGCTTCAGGCCTATCCATGCTGGAATTTAAAAGGGCCTCTGCAGACCTTTTTGGTACAGTATCTGCACTAGACAGATTTTCCCTTGGCCAGCTCAGGGAAATTTTATAGCCCCATGTGCTAAACATTCAGGGCCTGGAATAGGAAGAAAATCTGCTCCGCCCTTTTTCTTTTTTCCCCCATAAAGTTGTCTGGAAGAGAAAGGCTGGACTGAGCTTGCTGCACAAATTTCATGCTTGCCAGGGAGAGATGCAGGCTCACTTTTTGCAACCTGACCTGCGTGCTTGGAGCCCTTTTACCTGTGTAGTTTTGCTTGGGAGTTGACACAGGGGATTGATTTGCAAAATTGTGACCCTCTGCTACTCAGGCACAAAGTGAAGCACGTGCTAGATAGGAATATTGAAGAACCATGAGTAAACCTTACTTTTGATATCGTGTTCAATGATTCGAGAGGCAAAGCAAAGAGACTGTGGTCACTGTTGCGTTGTGAGAGCAATAAAGACAAATGGCATCATTGTTTTGGTTATCAGTAGGCTGCTGGTGACTCTGGGGTGAGTACAAAGGCTAGAATTCACTCGCAGGGCGGTTGTAAAAAGCTTGAGAGTGGGGGGAGGAGAAGAGAAAAGGAAGTGGAGGACGTAAAATGAAGACGCACGTCAGCAAAGCGAGGGAACAAGCATCAGAGTTATGCTCCGTGCCTTAGGCGGCTCTAACTGTTCTGCAGTTGTCTCGAAAGGCGTTGGATAATGGTATGTGTGAGAGAAGGGAAAGCAGGGACTCTCCCCACCCCAGGCTCTTAAGGGCAGAAGGAAAATCTGGTGGCAGACCAGAAATCTGACTGAAGTCGAATGCCTGTTGGCATTGCTGTTAGCCACTTGAACTAGGATGTTTCCCGGTGCTCTGCAGGAGCTGGTTTGCTCTGAACGGTTACTTACAATTGCAGATGACAGTCATGCTGAATAAGGACCATTGCCTGGTCTAGCTAACATCAGACCCAATTAAATCAGTTGGGAGTAGCTTTACATTCTGGCAGTTTCAGTGGAGACAAAAAAAGAGTGAACTCTGGATAGAATGGCCCTCAGATGAAAAGTGCTGCTGTTGATCATGAGTGCTGAAGCTTCTGGTCTGAGAGCCAGAGTCCTTCCTGTCTTCCTGCCCTGATGACACAAAAGGCAGTTTCAACTGTCTCTGAAATACTTGTATGCCTCCCTTCATCTTATGATTTGCACGCTGAACAAAAGCTCAACCCCAAAGAGCTCAAACAGTGAATTCCGAGCGATGAGGGAGGGTACGGCTGAAGAAGGGTCAAGCAGGATATTGAAATCGTGAGTTGCAGGCAGGAAACTCACCCAAAGCATCTTCTCTCCTTTGGGCCAGGCTTGATGAGACATCCTGGTGAGTAAGAGCGTGTGAAGAACCAAAGAAGCCCCTGACAGCACCTGCCAGCAGAAAGGAATAAAGCAAAGAGTTATTAATAGCAGTGACCCAGATTGCACTCCGAGGGTACAAATCTGGCACAAGAGGTGGCCCAGTCAGCTAAGAGGATATTTAAGAGTGGCTGGGAACATAACCCATCTGGCCAACTGCGAGGGGGAGATCATTCAGACCTTGCAAGATGTCTCAGTGGCATTGACATGAAATAGTGGCTAGTGCCCACAGAACATCACTCAGGAATCAGCTGGATAACTGTCTATTTGAGAAGACATTTGAGTAATTATAATTACTTTGTGATACATATCATGTAGCTCCCTTCTGTTCATGCATTCGTGCACTTGCAGGTTTAAATTCAGAATCAGCTGGATTCTGCAAACTGGGCATTGAAGGAAACCCTCCCTGCATTTATAAAATACACACAGAACTGAGGCAGGCCCATAAAATAATTTCTGAGAGGGACATGGACTCACTAAAATCAGGGAAAAGACTAGCACTGAAGTCAGGTAGTCCTGGACAGTCTGCTTCCTGAGTTGAGGAAAATTTGTTAAACCTGTTAGCACGTAGAAAAGAAATTGAAAAGGCTCAGCTCAAAAATCATGTAGGTAGCACATTCCACTGAGCATCAAACAGTTGAAAATAATTTGTTTGGTCTTAGCAAGAGCTCTTGCAAAGATCTCACACAGGAGATCTGGGAGTAGGACACTTGTGAGCATGACCAAATCTGATGTTTTGGGCAGTTTGTCTCTTCATTTCCCATCTCAAAAAAAAAAAAAAAAAAAAGGATTTTTTCTCTAAATAAGCAATTTCTTTTCCTTTTTCCCTGAACTCTGCTAAGACACGGGTGACTGCCTGTAATGTCTGTCTGTCCTCACACCAGAAAAGCTGACCATTACAGCGTGGAGCAAAACGGTGCAGTGAAGTAGTTGTTATTTTTTAAGACTTTGTCTAGCTGCTGAGAAACTAAAGCAGAGCAGACAAGGCTTCTTGGAGCTGCTTTGAGCTTTCTTCCCCCCCTCCTCTAAGCAACCCTTTGGAAGTGAGCATTTCCTACAGTGTGAAACAGGATCAGCCGCAGCCTGGGAGACTGGTGTGGGGGAGGGAGCTGTTTTGCTCTCCCATTTTTTCCACCGCATGAAAGAGGTGCTGAGGCTCTTTCAAGCTGAATCCTTCTCCACCCCCTCCTTTACCCGTCTCAGATCCCAAACTGAGACCCTTGAGATGCTGCCAAATAATGAGTTCTCCCATGGCTTAGAGTCTGAAACCAATTAGACCCCCCTTCTCCACGGTTGTGCCAGGGCTGTTCCAGTGCTGGGAAGACCTGGACAAGATGACTGCTTCTCTCCCAAAGCATCGCCTTGTTCTCCCAGGCAGCCTCCGTCACCTTTCGGGGTGCTTGCTGCCCAGGGAGCCAGGTATTGCAGCTTTCCTGAGACATTGCAGCAGCGCTGTTGGGATTTTAATTCATTTTTTTTTGTCCTCAGTTTGTCCCTGGCTCTGCAGAGTGCAATGGATCCTGCTGTTTTTCATGCTGTCTGAAACCTCGCTGGGTCGGGGGGAAGGGAGAGACACAGGCAACGCTTTCAGTTGTGGTTAGGAAGGGAAGGAAACTGCTAAAGCAAGAAGCAAATGTGCATGTTTGCTGAAAGGTCTGTGCACACACACGCATCCCACCCTTGGTCCGAGGCAGGAGGGACAGCCTCCACAAAGGGAGAAATCCCTGACTGTAGTGACAAGTGCCCTAAAGGCACCGTGGGATCCCATTCACACCATCTGTTCCGAGAAAGGTTTTCTCCCTTCACAACCTCGCATCGCAGCACGCTGCCTTGGGCTTGCCCAGCTCCCCTAAGTTGCAAAGGGCACTCAAGCAGCTAGATAGCTGCCCAGCAGTACACAAGTGTATTAATAAAACGTGGCCATAAAGGTCACTTTGGATCATTAGACTGCAGAGCATAGTGGAGCTTATTAACAACATCAGCAGCCTGTCTAGTGCAGTATCTTTGTTTTGGCCATGATGCGTGTTAGATAGTCGAGAGGAGGAGTCAGTAAATCTGCTGAAGTAGACTTATTTGCCCCTGGTACCATCTGTGTGTTGTTCAATCTTTGGTCGAAGCATCCTCCCGTCAGCCGGTGGGGTACGGTACGGTAGCGTACTGTAGTGTAGCATTGTTCTTGTTTTGGGAGAAGGGCTTCTAAAAAGGGCTGGGGCACAGATAGGATGAGTGACTTGCCAAAGGTTATGCTGAGGGTCTCTGGCAGTTAGAAATTTTGAGCTTTTTAGTTTTCATACTACTTAGGAAACTTGACTTAACCTGTGCATTTATCGCTAGGAAGAGTTGTTGCATAGGGCAGGATTGGGTCTTGCAGTCGGTGACTGTAGAGGTAGAAACATAAAATTTTTCCAGGTTGAGTCTTGGGTTTTGCTGTCACTAGTCTTCTGTCTCATCCACAGCTTTTTATTTATCATCCCTACCACAGCAGATAAGGGTGTACAGCTCATACAGCCATGGAAGCTGGATAACGCTTCTTCGTTCAGGTACTTGGACAAGTATCCCCTCTTTTAACAGGCTTTTTCTTTATCCCTTGCAGAACTTTGCCAAAGAATTTGTGATCAGTGACCACAAAGAGCTGGATGAGGATTACATCAAGAACGAGCTGAAGAAAGCAGGGGGGGCTAATTATGATGCACAGACTGAGTAAACGCACGAACCTCCTGGCACCAACACCTGGATCTCAAAGGGAGGGGAAAGGCACAACAAACTAACACGACTGAGAGACGAGGCAACTGAAATCCCCAGCTTTCTGTGTGTGCACCTAAGAACTCCCTTCCTTTGCATACAGTGGACTCTTATTTCCCATTCCATCTCATGAAACATCCCTCTCTGGGGTTCTGTGTTTCCCCCCCCGTCTATTTTTTTACTCATAACTCTGTCCATGTTCTTGCATCTGTGGAATTTAGGTTTGGCTCTGCTTTGGTCCTATTCAGCATTGTGTTCGTAGAGGCTTGCCATTGTGTCCTTCTTCATATGCATGTCTGTGTGTTTTAGTTGGGCTCAACCTGGTCTCTGAGGGGAGAAGGTTTTGGGGGAGTTCTGGACATTGATTATTTTCATTTTTTAAAAAATTTGTTCTCACTGATATTCTTGGGAATAATATTTTTTGTGGTTCTAGGCTCAGATCAACTTGAGTTGACCTCACTCAAACTTTGGTTAAATTGTCTAAACTTAAATGTCCAGCTGAGATGTTATCTAACAGCTTAAAAAAAAGGAAAACAAAGAAAAAACCTTTAACTCTTAATAAATGGGAATAAACTTGCCTTAAACATTGCTTGACAGTTGCTATGCTATGTGCTGCATCTCTACCCCTCCCTCTTAAAAATAAGATCCAACACGATCCAAATGTGGAGGTTTTGTTGTTTTTTGGAGGTATCATGGTATCACAGTAAAGTGAGGGGCTTAGAAATGTCGGGACACTCGGTCACTATTTTGTGTACATTGGTCTCTGGGTTTGTATTTGACTTTCCTAACGATGGGGCTCAGGAGGTGAAACTGAAATGCATAGATTTTCTTTTTAAATGATGTCTGCAAAAATAGCAGCCGCTGAATCCTAGCAGCCTTCTCTGCCCATGTCCCCCCTGGTTTTTTGCAGTTCAACTCAACATCTTCAGTTATTTGGGGCCTTCAGGCAGTGAACCATCCTGCAGCTGTGACCGAGGGACGGAGCAGGGCAGCTCTGTCCCGGTTGGGATGAAACAGTCAACAGTTGAGGCTCAGAGATAACCTGGGCACAGTTTGTTTGGTACAAAACTGTTTGTTTAGGGGGGCTTCTTTGTATGGCTTTTTTTTTCCATCAAAGGTAATTGTCCCCAGAATTATGTGTAGGGGGAAACTGTGTTGTACTGGGGCGTGGAAGTCAGTGCTATAAACCAATTACAGAAATAAATGTTTTTCAAGAACAGTTCTCAGCGACTCTGTTGTTCTTTTACCTTCCCTGCAACAACAAGCCTATATTTAGGAGGTCTCTTAATCCTGGGTGTAAGGCTTTGAGCTCTTGCAATCTTGGGGCTATTAGGAGAACTAAACACTGGCTTAAATGTAAAATGATCTCAGTGCCTGCAGCCCTTGCCTGCTCATCTCTGCTCTGAAAGGCAGAGGTGACCACGGTGCATCTGACACACTTTTTATTCAGCCGCGTTACATCTAAATTCCCAGCGCCAAAACACCAGGTGGGAATTGTAATTAGGTCAAAGAGAATTTCACACCCACGTAAAATGAATGTAGACAGGTCAGGAACAGATTGGGGAGCAAGAATGACACTTTCAGAGTGAAGTTTTGCAGCTTCCTGCACAGAGCATTACATTTCTGGGCTGAACTTACTAAAACTTGCCCTGAAAGAAGGGAAAGGGTTATTTTTTGAAGGACTGACAGCAGGGACAGGCATAACTAACGGGGAAAGAGCTTTTCAGAAAGCTCACGATGCTCTGAGGCTTTGCCTTAGTGCTTCAGTGACCACGATAAACTTTTATTTGACAGCTTGTGGGGTACAGAGACAACAATCTCAGTCTGGTCTTGAAGCCTGGCAGCAGTATCGCAAAGAAATTCATCAGCACCAGCTGTGGTGTGGGGTTTGATGAACAGCTCAAGAGCGAGCTCAGCACAGAGGCAAACCAGCTTTCTCAGCTGCTCGAAGGCTCAGCAAGACAAAGCAAAGCACTCGTGCTGCCTTCAGTGAGCTGGCTCCAGGGATGGAGGAAGTGAAGGCATCACCTTGGCCTCTTCAGTTGCTTTGCTATCCTCAGTCAGCACATGCCTGCCACAGAGTATTTTTCTAAAGACTTTCTGAATCTTTTATAAATATTTTTCTCCTCCAGGTAACTTCTCCAGGTGTGTCTGTTCCGTGTCCTCTTCGGCAGCCGCCGTTGGGGCCATCTCGGTGCCCTGCATCCTGGGCTGCTCACCAGAAGCAGCTGGATGGGCTGGGAGAGGAGACACAGGGCTTGTCCCTCTCTTGGATTTTCTCCTGACTTCTTCAGTGGTTTGAAGTGGAACTCCAAAGTACTCATACAAGATAACCATCCCATTTGCCGTTAGTCAGACCAGTTCGCAGAACATTTACAGTCCCGTATTCCCTCTTTGAATTGCCTCTGTGGTGTACCAGCACATGTGGTCCCATTTGGATCACGGGAATATAGAGCTTGCAGCTGCTAGTAAAGCGATTGCATGAGCAATGTTAGATACATATAAGAAAAATGAAGAAGAGAAGGAGTTACTTATTTGTGACAAAACATCAGGATGAATCCTTATGGAAAAAACTAGCCTAATGAATGATACTAAAAACAGAGAGTTAATAGGGTTTTGGTTAGTTTCCAGCCTTGATTTCATCTTTTCAGGCAGGCTACCTAGCGATACCATCTTGCTAAAATGCTCTGGAGAACGTTGTGGGGGAAAAACAGGATAAGATGTACAAAAGGTCTGCCGCTGGCCTCACTGGAGTGCAGTTGGGTCAGTTCTGGAAAACCCACTGGGGAGTTCTTGTTTGTACAGTCCTGTTCCTCTAACAACACTGCAACAGGCAAGTTAATCAAGTCCGTGCTTGTCAAACCCTCAGTCAAATGTAAGATTATCTTTGTCACAAAGAATGTCTTGGAAACACACCCAGCCCCGACCCCAGCCCCAGCCCAAACTGATGATGTACACCCCAGGTGGCTGCCTAGGAGCGTTTGGGGCAAAATGTGTTTCAAGAATTCAGTGCTTCCCTCCCTCTCTACTCATCACTTCTGTAAGAGTAATCTGAATTAGACATTAAACGGCTTTGGTTTTCAAGTGTTGATTATACTTCAGCATTACCAAACGGTCTTCATTTTCCTCAAGAGAGTGACTTTACTGGTATTAAGTCAAACCCTTCTCATGTTTGTAATGCGAGCAGCTCAGCTAGTCACAGAGGCTATACACGCCTGATATGACTCATAATCTGCTTGGCAAGCTAAAACTTATCTCTGGGGTCTGCTGTTGCCTGGCTGGAAAAGTATTAACCCCACAGTATTTGCATACGTTATCCTTCCTTGCTAATAATTAAGAATGCAAGAAACAATTGACAAAAATTGAGCAGAAGAAAGACTGGGACACGAAGAGTAAAAGCATAAGACCAATTATTTGTGGTGCAATTGGGGTCTCACGCTTGGCATATCACAATAACACAACATAAATTGGAATGGTCTCTCTTTTAAAAAGACTCCTCAGTATCATCCTTGGCAGCACATTAGCATAGCTGAATGTCTGCAAGTGGCTGATGCTCTGATCAGACGTATTAGGGACTCTATTATACACTGGATTTTGCACCCGGAGTGGTGGAGACAAAGAAGGAATTAAGAATATCTGGTTTTATTCAGTAATACTTCTCATCAGGAGGTCTCAGAGTGTTTCAGAAAGATTAGTATAAACCAGACCGTACTGTCATTCCTGGAACACAATACTCTTGTTTAGGAAAGGGCCTTTTACCATGGAATTGAAGCAGAAATAGCAGCCCCTGTGTTACAGGGCCCCACAGCCCAGCCTGGGGTGTCAGCCTCTTAATATATGCATTCCTCACCTTATCAGAGCAATGCTGATAACGCTCCATCCTGGGATTTATGCTAATGACTGTATGAGACATGGATTTTCTTTTCCATTTTTACCGTATTTTTTTGTAAAGTCGGGTGCCCTGTTTTGTGTCCACTTAGTATTCAAAGCTCGTTTCTTTTTCTTTATCAGACCTTTCGTCAGACTTTGAAGACCTGCTGCTGCACAAAGGCTCACGGGCTGCATTACAGGAGCCTGCGGTGTTCCTCAGGGCTGGGGCTGGGCAGGCTCTGCTCTGCCTCCGACAAGGCGAGGGAGAGAGCGAGCGGCAGCGACAGCACGCTGGGGGCTGTGTCTGGCAAGGAGCAGACTGCAATGGTTCAATGGCTGCTTTATATTTGGCATCACCAAAGGATTTTCTATTCCTCCACAGTACGAGTGCAGCAGATACGAGGCAGCATCCACTTTTAGCAGAGAGGGAGAAACAGAGTGCAATATCCTCCAAAATCTTGATTAATACAGAGAGTCAGACACAGCAGATGACTTCATTTTAGTAAGCCCAGACTGAGGGGGCTTTTATGTAATGCAGCGAGATGATGGTAAGGGATGGGCTGACTGGGTGACCCCCCAGGACGTGTTTAGGAGGCCATGGTAGCCATCAGAGAGAAAAAGGCTCTGTACCCAGGGGCGAAGTCGTGGTTTGAGCACGGGAGACAGCGAGGCTGCTCTGAGTCATAGCAGGCTGCAACACGTGAACAGCAAATTCTCACTCTGGGCAGTAAGTGGGCCTTTGGAGAACAGAAAATAGCTGAGCCAGGCAACCCTGCCTGCACGGACCGGCCCGTGGAAACCGCCGGCGTGCTCTGCCTGTGTTTTTATAGACCGCTGTCCCAAAGGGTGCCTAATGCCAGATTACTGCCTGGCGTTAAGTAGGCTCTGCTGTACGGACCCCTGGGGAGATCTAATCTCTCCAGCTCGAATCGTGGCGGTTATTTAGCAACAAGGCACCGGAGGAGCTGCAGAGAGGGGTGAAGGGGAGATGCCAGATATTTTGTGCATTGCAGTGGGAGCCTAGCTCAGCTCAGTGCCCCACAACACGACACAGAGAGGGACATTGTCTAATCGCCGCCAATACAGGAGCCATAAGCCCCGTTCCGGGCGTGACGACAGCAGCTCGTTTTCTTGCCTCGTCCCCGACGGACACGCTTCTGCTTACTCCTGGCACTGCGTCTCTTACAGTCGTGGTGGGGCTTGGGTGGATGCAGGGAACTGGGGGATCTGTCACGGATTTCCCCAGGTCGGAACCATGGGTTTATGGAAGTGGAATCTGTATCTTCTTGAGCTATGAAGCGAGACCTCCTCCGCACCCAAATCTCACACTTTTGGGACCTCTTGGGTGTATGAGAGGGACAATTATTAATGCAGTTCTCATCTAAGGCTTGGCCTTATGGCCCAATGAGGCAAAATACTGAAAAAAATGGTTTAATTGCAGCATGATGAACCACGTATTGCTTGGTGGGACTGAGACTGATAAAAGACCATTTACAGCCCACTCAGGCC